AAAAAAAACTCGAACTGCAACAGCATATACGATATAAAGTTCTTTGACCACAGGGTAATCTTCTGGGTTCCTATGATTGCATTGTGTATATGATGGTAGGGTATAGGGTAGACCAATATTATTATGTGTATAACATCGATTTTAATGCACAATTGAACACAAACCATTGGTAACAGTGTACCGCCATCACTGTACATATCCTTTCTGCGCTGTTGTAGATGCTAATTTCATCTAATGTACATCCTCGGAAAGATACTCTATTCAATTAGCATATAACATAGACTTACATAGTTGTATATTGGCCTATTCGGAAAAGGTATAACGTTATTTACACATGCATTTATAGGCCTATATATTATATTCAGATGTATTGTTTTTATATGTACCATTCTATATTTGGTACAGGCAGCATGCCAAGTGGTTCATCAGTTCATTTTACTGTGAGCCAATCTGCAGGCAGCAAGTGGAATGAGTTTTCATGTTGAATAAGATGAACGCCATGCGAACTTACCTGATGTAAACAGAACTATGGCTTTGATGCAGCTATACTCGGCAGAGTCCACGTGTAACGCTTTTAATTTCTCAACCTGCTCCTGAAAAATTCGAATATGGTCCATAAAAGCCACCACCCTGTCGGCAGACATTGGGCTGGCGTGCAGGCCAGAAGCAGCCAGTAATGGGGCTACATGGAGCGGCATCGAACACTGCGATGCGTTTAGCACAAACAATTCACTCCAAGTCATTCTTAACAGGGCTACCTGATCTGTAACTTGGAGATCGGGGAAGAACGGAATATTTCTTGCCCACTCAACAGCACTGAATAGAAGTCTGGCTGCTAATTCGCATATGTTGTCTATACCCATAACGCTATTCGTCTGCATACACTGGGCATATCTGGATGTAGGGTATGGCTCAGCTCGAAGCAGTAGCGAGATATATCCAGACAGAAAGGAGTGGCCATCAAATCGACCATCTATGTAGTGGCCAGGACCTGGTGGAGTGGGAGGGATCCTTCCTCGCTGAACCGCTGTAATTAAAGAAAACCCTGTACGATTACCTCAAATGTGCTGTATTTGCATATGTCAAACCATAATGATGT